GTCCCCGTCCCCGTCCCAAGTCCCCGACCTTGACCTCGCCTTCACGCTTGCAACCTCCATCCAAGGCGGCATGGAGACCTCCCCGCGCCAGCTGCTATGGCTATTCATCGCAGCACTGCACCAGCCGTCCTTTGTGGCGCGCGCGCACGCCGTCCTCGACGAGGTCGTCGGCCGCAACCGTCTCCCGCGCTTCTCGGACCGCGCACGCCTCGCGTTCGTCGACGCCGTCGCCCACGAGCTGTTCCGCTGGCGGCCGATCGCGCCGGGCTCCATCCCCCGCCGCGCGGACCGGGACGACGAGTTCAAGGGCGTCGGGATCGCCAAGGGCGTCACTGTCATGGCTAATGCGTGGGCCATCGGCCGCGACGAGCAGGTCTTCGACCCTGCGCTGGGTGATCTGCAGGACTTTGTCCCTGAGAGGTGGTTGCGGGATGACGACGAAGGGGAGACAAGATTACGAACGGACCTTCCGCTGCCGGTGTTTGGGCAGGGTCGGCGGATCTGTCAGGGGAGGAGGGTTGCCATTGACGGGAATTTTATGCAGGTTGCGAGTTTGCTCTGGGCGTTTGATATCGAGCTTGAGGACGGGGCGGAACCGGTGGATCCGTGGGAGATGGTCGTGGTGGGATTCATGACTATGCCGCGGGAACGGAGGTTCAAGCTCAAGCCTAGAGGAGACTGGGTGCTGGAGGTTATCAAGAGAGAGTGGGAGACGGCGGAAAAGAGTCTGGACAAGGTCATGGGAACGGTTAATGATGTTGAGTAGATCACGGAAGGGCTGATGCATGACATAGTGGTCTGGTGCTTTTTGCGGGCTATACTCCAGGGCAATCAGGTTGACATGCCAGAACGTTGCCCATTTCGATTGCCCACCATTCATGAATATACGGGTTAAAAGCCCTCACAAACGCTGAGGCCATCATTCAGCCTTACTCGTATGCGTAGCACCATCCGTATGTACCCATCACCCCGGCCTTCTGATATCCGGCAAGCAGCTTCTCACACAGGTACTGACCTACGTACCCCAATGCTGGCCGCTTCCACAGCTTACATGGCGCTCTACCACATAATGCAAGACAATAGCGCCCTGCTGGTACTGGACGTTGATGGTGCCAACATTGCCCTCGAACAGCAGCTCGAGGGGTATCTAGAATCTGAGAAGCGATCTCCCTTTTCGAGAGCAGGTCTTCCACACGGATCCTTGAACTCGCAACTGCCAAATGCAGTAGAGAGATCCATGGCTGTCGCGCACGGATACCATCTCTGCAACATCAATTTCACGACCGCTATGGTCCAGTAACATGGGAGAATCGTTCATAATTGCCTCGCGCTCAGCGAGCGCCCTTCGAGGAGATTTCTCGGTATAGTTCACTCATTGCGCCCGAGGATCTTATTTATAAGGTCTCCGAGGTTATTCGTAGGAATCCCGTCATTGCCAGTAGCAGGATCCCAGACGGATCAATAGGCCAGAAGATGCGCACTTCACTGTAGTGGGTTGAAAGTTGATGTTAAGAGGAAGATTTATTCGGCGACCGAATGCCATTATATGCCATTACTGAGAGATAATCTCTCTTCACTGTGTTGCTATCTATGAAATCATAATAGCTGGTATCATGATAATAAACTAGGCATCAAGGCAGGAATCAATTACATTTCCTAAAACGGCCCAAGTCGCGTCGCGCGTCAGTCACGTGGGCTTCTCTCCACATTGCCATTCCAGGCCTTGCTTCTTTCGGACTAGTGCCACCATCAGGTTCACATCATCAAAACAAAAGACCAACAATACTCTGTCACTGAATACACAGGCGTGAGCTTTGGCAAGAACAAAGGCTGCGATCGAACTCAGGCTAGCTTCAATAGACTCATCTAGCCCGTTTTTCCTTTGTGAGGCGAACAGTCTGCCACTTTCCCCGACATCAGCCGAGTTCACCTGAAGTCCAGCGCAGCTTGATCCCTACCATTGGTTACTAGGGAAAATCAACAGAGGCAAAATGGTCAGTTTCAATTGAACAAATCCTCGAGACTATAGCTGACCAGTCTTACGACTTCAGCGCTCAACCTTCCGCCGTCTCGCCGCAGATCACGCTGCATTGCACGAGGAACTCCCTCCAAACTACCTTTTCCCTACGGAAGAATCGTCCGATGATCTGACCCAACTCACAGCCCTGCTGGCCGGACCGCAGGGTACACCGTACTCCCAGGGTCTGTGGCGATTGCACTTGAAGATGCCAGAGGATTACCCGAAGAGCCCACCCAAGGCGACATTCAAGACACGCATATGGCATCCGAACGTGGAGGAGTCGACCGGCGCGGTGTGCGTGGATACACTCAAGAGGGATTGGAAGTCGACGTTGACGTTAAAGGATGTCCTAGTTGTGCGTGCTCCCTGCTACCACTCGGTTTGGTGGAACAGCGACTGACTCCCTTTGACTCGTAGACCATCTCCTGCCTCCTCATCTACCCTAACCCCGATTCCGCTCTGAATTCCACGGCCGGCGCTCTCCTGCAAGAAGACTACGATGCATTCGCGCGTCAGGCGAAGCTCATGACATCGATCCACGCCCCGGTACCACCAGATCTGAAAACCGCAGTGGTAGAGGCAAAATCGAGGGGCGAGGAGGCCGGAACCGTTATCCCGGAGCACGAGAGTACCCGCAGTCTGCGAACACGCACAGGAACAAGGGTCCAGTCCTTGACGATGAAAATGAAGAAGCCCACTCCGCAGACGACCGCCGAAACCTCACATCCACTCCCCCAATCACCCAACCACAACCCATCGAACCAATCCGACGGCCACGACAACAGCCCACAAACAGACGATGAAAGCGACGGAAACAACCGCCCTTCCACCTCCAAAGAAAACGACCCATCCCTCTCCCCCTCCCCCGTGAAACTCGCCCCTCCAAGCCCCAGGAAGAACGCCCACGGCAAACGACCCCTCTCCGTCCTCACCATGCCCCTAGATCCAGACCCAGACTCAGCACCCATGGACCCCGCACCCGCACGAACAGCAGACAAATCAACAATGACCGCCTCGGAAAAGAACATCGCCGCCAATCACCCCCACCACGCACCGGACCGCGACCCCTCCCCGCAGCCGCAACGAAAATCCCCGAAGCTATCCCTCCTCAACAAGGGTGTCAACGCCTCCGGCCGCGTCCGAGACGACGTGGTCAAGATCTTCGAAGACGCCTCCGAATCGCTCGACCTGCAGTCCCATCGCAGCGACGACGGCAAGGAGAATCACACTTCACTCAATGGTTCCAAGGAGATGGGCCACTCAGCACGGAAGAGTCATCCGCACTATCCCTCGTCTCTTCTCGCCCCTTCCGCCGCGATTACTTGTCCGTCGGGCTCAAAGACCTCCAGAGCGGTGTCTGGCTCGCGGAAGGTCTCATCCTCGAGCATGAAGAAGGCAAAGCCCCGGACTGGGATCCGCAGGTTATAGAGCCCGATATGCGCATGCGATTTACTGATTATTTTTCTCGATCGATACAACTGCATGCTTCTGTGCGTCCCTGGAATTTTCTAGTCGGTCTTGGCGTTGGTAAGGGCATATGCGGACGCATTGGAACTCGGTGGTAGCCATTTCTGATAGGGATGAACTGCGAAAGGCGCTCGGGGTTTGCGATTTCTTCTATCTTTATCTCTATATGAGCGAGGGCTCGCTCATCTTTTCTTCTCATTGTCACGCATGCATCAAGATGTAGTATAGCAAGCATCGCGCTTTCTGGATTAAGGATGACTGACATATTAGTGCATGAAGCCCATCTTATACTGACGATGGCCAACTGCAAGCTAACTACTAGAGCACTCCCAGCGTCTGTCGGCCACAAGCTAATCAAAGCCACCCGAAACCGCCAATCAAATAAGCTATGCAATTATTTAACATTGAAAACGTAGACAGATTTCCGCCGAGGTTTCACCTGCGGCCAGCTCCTGTAAGATGCTGTCGTGCAACTACCACGATTACACTTTTAATCCACTCATCCAGGTCAACTTAAACACTTTGGATCTTTCCGTAGGTCGGTACCCACCCAGATTTTGCAATCGACGTCTGTTCGAAGCAAGTCGCCATGTGACCGCGCTGTGGAATAGTATCCAATCAGCTCGAGTTGACCAGGCGACTGAAGCAATCTTGCGTAGCCATGCTCGAATCGATTAAACATAAACCTGCAAGCATATTTGAGTAGGTGACCTAAAGAGCTCTTCGCCTTTACAAGGCATAAGGGTTGACGGAGCGAATAGTGAGACAACTACAAGAGAGTCAATGTTAGTAAGTACCAGAAAAGACTGAAAGTAATTGAGCGACAACTTACGGAGGGCTCTTGGTCAAGTCAGTCTTGAGAATGATAGGAACCCGGGTCATCTCGGTCACATCCTGAATGTACTCTCCGTCCTCCTCGCGGAGCTTGAACAGTTTGAGGTATTTCTCCTTGTTGGTCAACTTGGCCTCCGGCACGTCGTTGTTGCTACTTGTAATCCTTGGATCGGACCGAGTACGGTGAGGAGTCTGCTGAAGATGGCCATTACGAGTGGGTGAAGGTGGCATGCTCTGGGTTGTGCGGTCAGCAGACGAGTTCAAAGAGACGCCCGCAGCCATCTCGGTGACCTCGGAGATATCATCGTCATCGTCGAAGAGAGCATCGACATCATCGGCAGACATGGTTCCAGTCTCGGTCTGCTTGCGAATCGCCTCATCACGTTCGCGGGCACGCTCTCTCGCAGCTTCTGCTTCGCGAGCCGCGGCCGCAGCCTGAGCCGCACGGGAGTTGGCAGGTCTGGGCCGTTCGTCCTCTGGAATGTAGGCAGAAGACGGAACGCCCTTCTCCCAGTAGAGCTCCAGAACACGAGTCTCCTTACGATATTCGGCCTTCTTCAGAGGCAGTTGATCACAATGGACACGCTTCTCGAAACCGAACTCAGGAATGAGGACATCGAAGGCCGACTCGTAGACACAGAGAACGATTCCCTCACTGATCAGGTCGCCACCAATCTCTTGTCTCTTCTTGTCCATGCTACGGCAAGCCTCGATATGGACACTCTGCTCCTGCGCATTGTGCGCCGAATCCTTCTTGTTATTGCACAGATCCGCCGTCTTGCTCAGAGACTCCACGTCATCTGAGAACTCAATTGCACCATTCGACAAAACGGCCTCGAGCTGGCGATGAACGATAATATCCGCATAGCGACGCGACGGGTTGGTAAAATGAGTATAGACGGGTAGGTTGAGGGAGTAGTGATGGCGCTGCTCATCCTGTACAGTGCTAGCCACGTAGTATTTCGCACGTTGCATAGCCTTCAACAAAACAGTTTCCATACCCTAATCCCAGTCAGTTAAGTCAAGGCGTTGAGGTAATGTTCAAGTAGCAAAGTCGGACACGAACCTTCCGCAGATCATCATCCTGGACTTTGCAAAGGCTGCTCTGCAGAGTTCCACTGCTCGAGGGGTCAAAGTCATAGCCGAGGCGATTCATCCTGTCAATGAAGGAATGGAGGCGGCGTGAGTTTGGTGATGGTTGACGGCGAAGGAAAGCCTGATCGGGCATAGCGGAAACAAGTTTGCGGGCAACGAAAAAGTTTGCCTTGTGTCTCAATTCCTCCACCATCTCGCGTGCAGCAGTAGAATCAAAGATGTTCCTTTCCACAGGCACATTCTCGTCATCCAGCTGATGCAGCAGGCGCAGGGGTGGCATGTTCGAGACACGGTTGCCAAATCTGGCTTCTCGGAACTTCTGTGTGATGGCCTACAAACCGTATTACATCAGTGCTCAGTCCTGGAGGGAACAAGGTTAAAGGGTTACTGACATTCAGGGTCTGAACGGTGTTGGTGGAGATTCCGGCCATGGATAAATCGGACTCCCCCCTGACCGCAGAGTTAACCTCCTCATAACTCAATCTGCCTGCACTCTTGACGACACCCTTGCCGATCCAAACATCTTCGTCGACAGCGCCGGTATCTGGGTTAGCATTGAATACAACGCTGACCGTAAGGCGATCCTGTCCTGGAAGGAGAGCGCAGAGCTCCGTAGAGACTCGCCGAGGCAGCATATTGACCAGTCGATCCATGAGGTAGACCGCAGTGCCTCGTTTCTTTGCTTCCCGATCAACCAGGGAGTTCGCCTTCACAAAGTGGGCGATGTCAGAAACATGAATACCAATTTCCACCTTGCCATCGTCCAGAGACTTGATGTGATAGGCATTATCGAGCTCCATGGCTCCGCTTGGATCAATGGTGAAGGTGGTTTCCGAACGGAAATCCCGGCGAGACTCAAGGAGGGCCTCGCCCTCGCTGCCAACGGACCAGTCCTCCCAGCCGATGCTCTTCATCACGGCATCCGAGAACTCGTCGGCACCAAAGTTGTTGTCCCGGAGAAGAGCATCCGTTTCCACCTTCAGATCGCCCATTTCACCAAGCTGTTCCACGAGAGTTCCGAAGGGATGAAGGGATGTGATGGGCCATCTCTTAATGCATGCGACAAAGATACGATTGGCGTAATCCTGATGCTTCTCCACGAAATCGCGGGGTGCCTGCTCAGTAGGGATAGCGATGAGGGGGACACGCTTGTCGGTGGGCTTGAACCACACGATCTTCGGCTTCTCCTGTTGACGATCGTGCTGCTGACGGCCGTGACCACCATCTCTGGCCTGCCGTTCGGCTTCCTGCTTCTCCTTTGTGGCCTGGCTGCTGGGCCGAAGGAGCCCCAAAGTACCCGAGAACATTTGACCGGCAATACGCTCAATGACAGCAACGATGTGACCCGCATAAAGAGGCTTCTGCTCGTCATTGATCTCATCCTCCTCGACGAGGAGGAGGCTCTGGCCCTCGACTTCAACATCGTCATTTTTCTTCTGTGTCGGTCGCTGGCGCAGACTGCCACGACGCCGGATGCTGCCATCAGGTCCAATTTCCTGGCGATCGGTGTTGGCACCGGAGTCCGACCTCGATAATTTGTCCGTTCCTGCGGTGCTACCGGAGCGAGCATCTGTGATATCCTTGCGCTTCTTCTTCTCCTCCTTTTCTTTCTTCTGAGTCCACACCTCGTCCACATCCAAGAGTTCAACGGCAACAAAATCACCCTCGAGCGCACGGTTCCGGTCTTTGCTTCCACAGATGAAGATGTCGGCGTCCAGATCGGGTGTGGTCACATAGGCGTCGGAACGGTTCTTCTTATTGACTCGAAGAATACCAGCCACCAGTTGACCGTTGCTCAGAAGGGCGGGCAGATTCGCCTGAGGCAGATAAGGAGTGAATAGGGTTTTGCGCTGCTGTTGCTGTTGCTGTTGCTGCTGAACAGACAGCTGTGGCGGAGCGTGTTGGCTGGCCTGCAAACCGAGCCCTTGACCACTTAGTTGACCGTTTTGCTGCTGCAGGGCTTGGAGCTGTGCCAGTTGCAATGGGCTCAGCTGCTGGCCAGCGCCGAACATTTGAGGTGGTGCCATAACAACCTGCCCCTGAGGCAGCTGGATAAGCTGGGGCTGGCCGGGATACTGGAAGGAGCCGAGAGAGCTAACCGATTGGTTGATGGACGCGCGAGCGCGGTGGCCGGGTTGGAAAGCGCTACCTTGCTGTCCGAAGCTCTTCTGCTGGTCCTGTCCCTGATTCTGATTGTTAGGCTGGCGCCAGTTACCATCGAAATTTCTGGATGAGGTGCGCGCATGGCCAGGCTGGCTACCACGCCGTTGGTTCTCAGACTGCCCACCGATGTCGCTGGGTTGTGGAAATTGAAAGCCACCCATACCGCGTCCGGACAGCGATCCTCGGGAGTTACCGACTGCGACGGATTGACTGCGACCATGGCCACCAGCCCGGATGTTGCCGGCGCGGTGCAGACCAAGCCCTTGGGGAGGTTGTGTTGTGCCCGGGGTCGGCTTATCCTCCGAGCCTGATAGGTTCTCGGAGTTGCCCCCAGCGCCTGGGGCGGGAAATTGGAAGCCAGATGCTGTTCTCTTTTGCTGAGCGAGCTCCGCGGCCTTTTTAGCTTCTGGTAAAGCGAGGGAGTGACGACGTTGGTGACCACCACCTGGAGGCCCCCGGGTACGCCCATGGTTGTTGGTTTCCTTCTGCTGATGGTTACCCTGCTGGGTGTTGTAATCAGAGTATCCGGAGGCGCCTGAGGATGGGGCAGGGGGAGGGCCCATGGCCAAACCAGGAAGTGCGGATTGATTGCGTCGGTGCGAGTGCTGAGTAGGAGTGTTCATGGGTACACCAAGCTGTTGTTGGGCTAGCTGGGGAAACTGGAAGGCGTTGATCTGAGGGGAAACGCCCCCCATGGACGCACCGCCCTGAAGCGAAGGAGAGAATGCAGAAACCTGGCCCAGTTGCTGTGGCTGTAAAAGTCCCATGTTGACATACTGTTGGTGTGTCGCTGCAATTTGTTGTTGTTGCTGCTGAAGCAGCTCAATCTGTTGCTGAATCGCCAGTTGTTCCACTATTGTCAAAATCGA